CCCCCCCCCCGAACACTCTACAAGCCTCTTAAGGGCTATTCATGCCCTTTTTTGGGAGGAAAAAATACCAGGCCCATTTTTGCGAAAAAGGGCCATTTTTTGGGAGGTTTACAGAGTGCAAAACCTTTTTTTAAAAAAATTTGCTTCTTCAAAACCTTGGTGCGTCTTATACTCCAAAAAATACAGTATATTGTTCCTCAGACAATCAGCAAAGTGTGTTAAGACCTTTGAAATGCTTTCTACTGAGCCAGGAATAATCATGAAATTCCAAACTATCCAAAGCTCTTTGTCATGCCTATAATATTTATTTGGATGCTCAGGCCCATCAATCCAAAGTCTCTGCCCCATACATTATTTCAGCATATATTTACTCCTATAACCTGCTTTGGAAAACAGTTGTTGTATTGGTGTCATATTATCTGTCTCCAGTCATTACCCAAGTGCAGGTAGTCCTCGACTTACAACAATTCATTTAAAGTTATAACATCACTGAAAAAAAGTGATTTATGACTGTTTTCACACTTACGAACAGCATCCCCATGATCACATGATCAAAATTCAGACGCTTGGCAGTTAAATCATATTTATGACGGTTGCAGTATCCCAGGATCACATGATCCCCTTTAGAGACCTTCTGACAAGCAAAGTCAATAGGGAAACCAGTTTCACCTAACAACCATTACTAACTTAACAACTGCAGTGATTCACTTAACTACTGTGGCAGGAAAGGTCATAAAATGGGGCAAAGCTCTGTTAAAAAATGTCTTCACTAACAACAGAAATGTTGGGCTCAATTCTGGTCATAAATTGAGGACTAACCTGTACTACTGTGATGGCTGTCTTAACTTTTTCTGTCTCTCCCAGTTTACATACACTTTGGAAATGCCATGGCATACATCTAGCAGTCTATCTAACATTACTTTCACACAGATCTTTCTTACAGGAGTATGAACTTTCTGCAAAAAAAACACACCTGACAATCATAATGTTTAGGCTTTGTAATGCTGCTGTATGTGAGAGCAGCAAACTATAGCAAACCCCCCCCCCCATTTCTAATTAATGTGTTATGCGTGTTGTTTTCTGGTAGATGCTGCAATAATTGTGATGATGTGAGGGAAGCATACAGGCGTCGAGGGTGGGCCTTCAAGAATCCAGATACTATAGAGCAATGCAAGAGAGAAGGATTTAGCGAGAAAATGCAGGAGCAAAAAAATGAGGGATGCAAAGTATATGGATTTTTAGAGGTCAATAAAGTAAGTATGGCGATTTTTATCACTGTTCCGCATTGGCATTTCACTCAGTATAAAAGGTTAATCGTGCTAAGTAGAAGTTTAGTATACTTCTAGCAGTTCATTTAGTGACCATTCAAAGTTACAAGAGCATTTTAAAGAGTGGTTTATGACCATTTTTCACACTTAGGATCGTTGTAGCATCCCCATGGTCACATGATCAAAATTCAGATGCTTAGCAACGGGTCCTATTTATGACAGTTGCTATGTCCACGGGTCATGTGATAACCTGTTGCCACCTTCTGACAAGCTAAATCAAGCCAGATTAACTTAACAACCAAGTGTGACCTGGACAGAACATCACATAACTTTAGCCATCTGTTCAGATTCCATTTCAGACAAAGGTATATTGTACTCCTTTTCAATATTCAAATGAGACGGATTTTCTTAATTTAAAAAGACATACTTTTCAAATCTGCTACTGCTTTTTGGTATAGGGAACTATATAATTGAATGAAATCTCAATTTCTCTAACAGGTAGCTGGCAATTTTCACTTTGCACCAGGAAAAAGCTTTCAACAGTCTCATGTTCATGGTAAAGTAACATATGCATTGAATATCTTACAAACTTCCCTGCCTCCTCCCTTAAATTTTAGGATACATTGATTGATTGATGGTGCTTATATATTATCAGTCCAGTTACTGCACAATAGGTGTCATGAACTTTAACAGTATAACTAATACAGCATTCCTAGAGTGTAGAATTAGCAAGAGGAAATATTTCAAAAGTACTGTTTCTTGAGAAGAAAAAGGTTGTAATATCCAAGGTTGTGTGTATGTACACACACACATACACACAACATACGCAAATAGTTTCTCATCATTTCCTTGTACTGGAAATGCTACAAGTACAATTTTAAAGGCATTCAAGATGATATGATCATCTGTTTCCTGTTGCAGGACTGATTTAATAAAATATGTTTTCAACATATAAAAATAAAATATCAACATACATAACATTCAGTACACTTTAGATCAAATAAACGTTGGATATTTGAGACTGAAAAATTCAAATGTAATTTAAAGTAAGAAACATTAGATTTCTGATTTAAAAATCTTCAGATACTCAGCAATTTTATTGCAGCTGTGGCCCTGTATTGCTGTGTCATTTCCTTTTCTTATGTGGCACTTGAGACTTTCTACATGCACCTGTAGATCTTATTGGTTGGATTGTGAGCTAAAACTGAATAAATAACCTTACCCTCTTCAAGAGGAAGGAGGACATTGGCTTCTGCCCAAAGCTTGAAAATTTACTTCAACAAACTATGTATAATAATCCCTTGAAAGTTGAGTCAAAGTCTGTGTTAGCTACTCTCCATTATAGTTTTTCATTCTTATGTGGAAAGTCTCTTTGGTAGTACTTTATTCATTTTTCTGATGTTTGACATGGTTAATTCCAATTGCCTGCAAAAGGTATAAGATCTCAGTCAAAAGTATTTAGTTCTTTCTTTGTGTTCTAAGAATTTATTTTCTAAAAAGAATTAAGTCAAAATACACTGAATAGGATAGCACCTCTGTAAATTTATCATTTATTATCTGTTACATGCAGTCCTAACTGAATTAGGTAATGTTGAAACATTTGGAAATATTCATGCATGCTGTTGAAATTAAAGTCTTGTTGATTTATTTTATTTGCTAATTCTGTGGTGTTTATAATAAAGGGGACTAATTTCTCCTGTTAAGGCTTGATAATACTTAAGGATTTGATCAAACTGAGGATGATATTAGATATAGCATTTTTGATTCAAGGACTTGGGAATGGACATTATATGGCTATGATGTTCCATTAAAATATTGAGGTGGTTTTGCTGACAATTCTGTTCTTAAAAAACAATTTCCCTGAACATTTAGAGGATGTACTCCTACTTATCCTTTCTAATCGATTGAACAAATTTTCTTATACAAGTTGTATATATGTATGTGAACTAGTAAGACATCCTTCAAACTTTCTGTAGAAGATATATAAAGGGCAGAGATAACACCATTGCAAAGTTAGCAAACATGGTTTTGAAGAAGACAGGATTTATAATAAACAATGATTTAAGGTAAACTTTGTAGAAGCATCAACGTTATGAGTTATCAACTCCTCACACTGCATCATGTTCCAAGAGGAATAAATTGGAATTTTTATAAAGCTTATATATCAGAAGTAATTGATGCCTATCATTCCTAGAATTGGCAGGTTTATCCCATAAACTTAACTCTCAATATAAAATCAAATCTTTAAAAATGAAACAAGTATGTTAATTTTTATGTTGGTATGGTTGGTTTGGTAGGGTCTGGCTTTATGCTTTGTAGGTTTTGTGTTTTTATAGTGCATTGAAATTGAGCTGATTTATTTGTGCATGTTTTAGTAGCTTGCTGATGTTCAATGTCAGAGTGCAAGTTTAGTGCAGGTTCTGTCAGCTTGTTTATTGAAACACAATAGTGCTTTTCTTTTTTTTTCTTTTGATGTTGTAGTGTAATAAAGTTATTTATTTAAAAACAAGTGGTCTGGTGGTTAAAATGTCCAATGGTGATGATGTTAATTTGTACTCTTGATGGTGGTAGTTATTGTACAGCAACAATCCACTGCTTTTTATGTTTTTCTTTTGCTTTGAAAGAGAGAATTTTCTTGCATGTAAGAAGCAAGGGCCAGTAATGGTTACTTTAATCATTCATAATTTAATCATTCATAATGATTACTTCATCCTTCCAGACCTTTAGCATCAGCAAGTTATTACTGTACTTGGCTGACCACAGAAAATCACATTAGAGTAGTATTTTCTTCTTTCTTTTTGATATGGGAAAGAGAAAAGTTGCTTGTACTTTGTCATAAATTGACAACAGGCCTCTTAGTATAAGTAATGTCCATCAATTGCATTATTTGAGTTTTATGTGCCTCAAACCCTCAGAACATTTTAAGCTTGAAAATGATTGACAGTTTAGTGCTGGATGATGATTCATCCTTAAGTTAGATGGCATGCTACTGAGGAAGAGCCAGAGTTATTTTTGCCATTTTGCGTTTGTGATACAATTACATTAAAGCCCTTGGGATAGTTAGTTGCTGATGCTGCCATGCAGGAAAAGAACATCTGAAACAGCAAAGAGAAAATTACAGTGGGAAATGTGGAAAGTAAGAAGCATGGCCATGGGAAAGCTGATCATAGTGAAATTACACTCCGACATTTCAGTGATTAGAGAATCAAATGGACTGAAATTGGACACTTTAAATCAGGTGTTTTTATTTATTTATTTAATAAATCAAATGCTGTCTATCCAAGTGGCTCTGGGCAGTTTACAATATAGTACGATTATACTATTTAGTGTTCAGAGTACAAATAATGAAATTGTGGCCTTGTTTTCAAGTCAGGAAAAATATAGCAAAGATCATCCTTGAGTACAATGCAGCCAATATCTAAATAATATCAATTAAATTTTGCAGACAAATATGACAGCTAGGCAGCCACTGATGCAGAAATAGGGGCTGACAGGTTTCATAGTCAAATTCCATCGGAAAATGATTGAAAATGCAAGCAAGATGTGTTGTGCTTAGATCCAGAAATGCCAGTGTTTGAAATAGTAGCTAGCCAAATATTCTCAGGAAGAGAAGTGAAGCAGGAGAACTACTTTCAGTTTTTGCCACTGCAGTGGTTTCTTCATTACACCATATCGATACAAGAAAATGGAAGAGCTCAGTTTTAACAGCAAAGATGTAGCTGGAAGCTTTGCAACAGATCATGAACTGCTCATGTGCAAGTTCTAAGTCAAGCTAACCCAGAAGAATAAGTCAAGCAGTTTCCAAAATATGATCTGAGGCATATACCCACTGTTTTCAAGGAGAACATCAGGAATCATTTGAAGTCCTGAACCTCATTGACAGGGAACCAGAAGAACTCTGAAATAAAATCAAAGAAACTTCCAACCTCAAACTGATATGCTGAAGAAGTGAAAGGTGGAAGAAATGTACTGAAATTCTGATGTGACAAATATGTCAATATCCTAGATACCTATTTACAACAACAACAACATCAGTAAAAAAAATCTATATATAGTCAACTTGAAATGTTCTAATGGAGCAGGGGTTGCCACAAAGTAAAGGGAGTCAAGCTATTCTCCAAAGCATCTGAGGGCAAGAAAGAAGCAATGGATGGAAACTAATCAAGTAGAGAAACAATCTAGAACTAAGAAGAAATTTCCTGACAATTAAACAATTAATCAGTGGAACAACTAGCCTCCAGAAATTGTAAATGCTCCAACACTGGAAGTTTTTAAGAAGAGATTGAAAAACCATTTGAAATGTTATAGGATTTCCTGCCGAAGCAGGGGGTTGGGCTAGAAGACCCCCAAGGTCCCTTTCAACTGTGTAATTCTAGCTTTCTGAATGGGGTTGTGTTGTCCAGTCATGAAATAGAATTTTTCTTGTTTTATGCACATTCTATTTTATAGACCATTGAAACCAGTTTCACACACATTTTAAAAATATGTTTCAAATACCTTATACTTTGCACGTAGCTAAATACCATTTTTCAACTAAGCATGGATAGAAATTCTTGCTATAAATGGCAGACATCTATCATGGTCTCTGCATATATGTACAGTATTTATGTTTGATACTGCATAATGTGAGAGGCAATAATTTTGAAAATAAAACATCATTATTTATGATTTTCCAAATGTGGCTTCAGTTAGATATTACCTTTGCATTTCATCTTTCTGCTTAGTTGGATACATTCTTCTATATTGCCTTGATCAAATCCTTAAGAGTTTATGTTACAGTAATGTTTCATGAGTTTAGTTGCTAAATGGAATGTTTAAACAATTTATATCTAAATATTCCTTTATATTTCTTTAAGATCCTTGATATTAAAGAGGAATGTTTAATCAGGTATTTGGTAGAACCTGATTAAATAAAGAGCCTGCTTTCTGAAATCAGTAATTTACAGAATAATTTACAGAATAATTACAGAATAATAAAGTTGGGATAAATTCATGGGGAAAAAAATTTCTTTTTAATTTATTCTGAGTGAGTTTAGGCATCAGTGTAGGCATACTTTTAACAGTAAAAAGATTGTGAAATTGCTGAGAAGACAGCTTAGGGTTGTAATGGAAAATTTAAAAAGATTTATGTGAGCATTTGCTACCGAGGAGCTATTTATTTACTTTAGTTATTTAAATTAAATTATTTAAGTTATTTATTTAAGCTATTCCAGCTTAAGAGTGTATCATGATCTTTACTTGTAAATGCCGATTCTAAAAAATTCAACTTTTAGATTTTTTTTAAAAAAATGCATAATTGTCTCATACAAAAAAGGCTTGCTCCAGTAACTTTATGTGTTGTCTGTCTTTTTGCAGTTCATGATCTTCAGAGTTATGGACTTGACAATGTAAGTTCCCTAAGAGAGCTTGTATCTGACCTTTCTATTGACATTGGAAGGGATAAGAGATCTACCAGTTGTGTACATGTAGATAATTTGTCATATATTACTGTGGCATCTGAAGAGAATAACAACAATATAGCTAGGAGGAATAAAATTATTCTATTTAAAATTGTTGTAGAGTTCATTACGCAATGCAGTCATGCTTTTTAAAAAATCCCTCTTCCCTTTTGCTAGAATTGTTGTTTTCTTTGATAGAGGACATAGCTCACTGAGCACAAACAACTTATGTCTTTCTTAATGGCTGCTGTTCCCAGGAGGGAGTACAGATGTATAATTGCCGGGGGAGAGTTGCACTGCTTCTGCCCTCGGGTAATGTACACACAAGAACACAGAAAGGAAACAATATTAGCAGTTCTGACCTGGCATAAACTGGCACAGGTGCTAAACACTTGTTGTTCCAAGCCACAAAAAGGGAAGCCTGTAAAATGTATGTGTGTGCCTAGGCACTGGTGGGAACTGATGAATAACAAGAGTCATATTTCATCCATGATATGAAATGGTACCAGTGTTGTGAATGGCCTCCAGCCTGTTCCATCCTTGCTTTTTCTGCAACTCCTTGACATTTTGGGACTTTTGTTTCTTTGCTTGTTTCAGATAAACATAACACATATTATCAGGCATCTTTCATTTGGGAAGGATTATCCAGGTCTTGTGAACCCACTTGACGGAACCGTTGTCACAGCTCATCAAGGTATTGGTTTGAAGCAGCCTTTCAGTCTAAACTGGTAAATAAAGGTGACAACCAGCACAACATTTGTTTACCATTTATTGGGTACTTAAGTAAAATAGATTTGGCTAAACTAATCGTTTTAATTATAAAATGGAACTTGGTAACTTTTTAGCAGAGCCAATGCAACTTTCCCTCCGTTTTGTATTTCAGACTAAGGAATATAGGCCTAATGGAACCATATCCTTGCTTCTTTCTCCATGTTTTCATTAGCAGTGTGGATAGAGTTAGGTGCTAATTTCTTGGTCTTCTTTACAGTATCATCTTTTAATTTCTTTTAACTGCTTCAATTTGTTTGAAGGGGACAGCAACAAAAAGAGAGGAGTTTACTTTAAGGAAGGACTCCTGGCCTCAACCTCTCATTTTACTCTCTTCACATGTCAACTTAGTTTTATTAATTGCAGATCCAAGTTGTAATAATAAAAATAATTTTATGATTGAGAGCCTGCTGAAATTCATAAAAATTCATAAAACACCACCTCTAAAATGGCTGGTACTAATCGATTTCAAATTCCTGCTGAATCCTAAGTCATTGTTTTTAGATTCTTGAAGTTTTAAAATTTCTTGAGGTTTTCTCCATTAATCCAGCTTTTAACTTTTTGATAGTTGTGTGCAATTACAAGCCACTTCCTCTTCTGAAAAACACTTTTGAGATGTGTAAAACGACACTGTTTTGCACATTCCTAGTTTTTAGATGTCCACAGTAGGTGGCAGCACCTACAAATCTTGGCTTATCAGTGGAAAACTAAGCAAGATCATACCTGATCAGTACTTGGGTGTGAGATTATAAATAAACTCAGGATCTGAGAAGTCTTAAAACATCCAGGAAGAAAGTGGCTACATAAATATTCCCACATAATCTTCAGGAATCTATGTTAATAATTAATTCTGGAGGAAAACCTGGATTTTTCCTCGCTTCAGACAGCAATGTAATAAGATGTGTGGTCTTTTTTGACATTGAATAGAGTTTCACAAGCTGTGTGAAGAGAATGGGAAGGTAAGATCCTGGTGGATTTCATACCCAGATCTATTAATGCCTACCAAATTACTGGTTGAGTTCTATTGAAGTCAATTTTGGTTACTTATACTTGGCACAAGCTATTCTGTGCATGAGGGAATTAGTGCTCCAGCCCATAGAAAAATGTTTCTGGTTGGGTTTGAGTCCTTGTATGTAACAATGGAGGTGGGGTTGTTCCAGATACAGTGGCCCAGAATGCATTTTCCAGTTAGAAATGGTTTGAGGAGGAAAAGGGGAAAAGTCACTCTTGGATTTCTGTGCCTATAATGTATGTCTACATCCTTGGCAGTGAGGGATTTCCTTTGCAGTGGGATGTGCAAACACTGATGGCAATTGTGGTTGTTGCAGGGAAGGAGGGAAGGAAAAGTGTTTGGTGATGGGGTGGCTGACAATATAGATGCAATGAAAACTGTGGTGATGCAAACCAGCTTTGTTATACCCTATAAAATCACTTTGGGATTTCTTCCAATTTTATGTCATCCTGAAGTTGGAACAACCACAGTGTTTTGGTTTTTTTTTCTGCTGAACCACATTTAATCCAAAACAATCCAGCAGAGTCATTAGACACCATACAGTATTTGTACTGGGTTTAAAACACAGCATATTTTCTATTTTACCCATTATGATTTTATTTTGTCTTTTAGCTTCGATGATGTTCCAGTATTTTGTAAAAGTAGTCCCCACAGTATACATGAAAGTTGATGGTGAGGTAAGAGCTGAATATTGTCTTTTCTTTAAATAGTTTTGTTTAAATTTGGTTAAATTCAGCATTAGATGAGCAGTCTTTTATTCAGATTCTATTATTGTTCTCTCTTCCTTTTACATATCCCCCAAAATCTGTTGTGAGAAACGCAGGTGGAGAGGTTACAGGATGATAGAGAGTTCAGATTTTCATCAGAGTCCTTTCTGGGGGGGGAAGTAATCTGCTATATTTAATTGGGAGTGAAGAGATAGCATTCATAAATACAAAATAGAAAATTACGAGCAATTCTACATATTTTGTTATTAAGCCATGAATAGCAGGCCTAGGAGCTTCCAAAATATGAATCATAGATATTTTTGAAAGGAGAAAGTTGGATTGCAGGTCACTGTTACTATGGTTGCAGTCTCCCTGCATACATAAAGGAGAAATGAGTGACATGGACTTCAGAATGCTTCCACCTGAAGAATATACAAAGCCATACGCAGTTAGCTGCATTTTTCTTTTCTTCAGTTTGGATGATGCCTGACCCTAATCAACTATTTTAACATTTTTGTAGATGGTGAGGACAAATCAATTTTCAGTAACAAGGCATGAAAAAATAGCGAATGGACTAATTGGAGATCAAGGCCTACCTGGTGTGTTTGTACTGTATGAGCTTTCCCCAATGATGGTGAAATTAACAGAGAAGCACAGGTGAGAGATTCTCAACATTAGCTGAGTGTGAAGCAAAAAAACAGCTCATTTCCCCCCCACCCCGATGAAATTTCATTGAATGTGTCTATAGAAGCCATGCGAAGTGGGTGATGCATAGAAATAGATACTAAATGCCACTTTTTGAAATAGAATCAACATATCCAGATTGATCTGACTATGTTTCTGACTTTTGTCTGCCTATAAATGTAAATGTAATTAATGAAATGGCTTTAATAAAATAATTTTCTTTCTGATTTTGATTTTTGCCTTCAGAATGTAAATATATATTAATCTGAGGAATGTTTTTCCAAATCCAGGTCCTTTACACATTTTCTCACAGGCGTCTGTGCCATTATTGGAGGAGTATTTACAGGTAACTGGATTTTTGTGTTCAAAAATTTAAATAGATTTCTATTCATTTTGAATCTAAAATTAGTTTGTAAATGTTATGATCAGTACATCATACTTTCGGGGCATTTTCAAATCAGTTCTGCTACAAGGTTTCAGAATTACCATTAGGAATGGACGTAAAATGATAAATAGGGAAAATTTGTCAGTTGCTATTATTAATATTTGTAGCTTCTACTTGCTATACAGCTTTTGAAAAAGTATAACTCATGATTGATTCAACAAGATTAATTTGACATGGTTAAGAGTGTATTATACCATAACAATAGAATTTAGAAAGAATGCCAGTGGAGTTCTTTTTGTTTTATGGCAATATTGCAGATTTTTTCTTTTTTATATGAACTAATTAAACTGACCTTCCTTTTCCTCTTTTTCAGTTGCAGGACTCATTGATTCTTTGATCTATCATTCAGCTCGAGCCATTCAGAAGAAAATTGAACTTGGAAAAACTACATAGATTAGTATCTACAAACCTTCCTAAAAGACTTGAAGAAATGAAAAATAACCCTAACATCAATGTCCAATATGAATGTGCCAAGTGAAGATCATTGGAACTTTGAGAAGAGACTGACATTCCAGTTCCTGGGACAAGGGATTAAATTTAAACATCAATGTTTGTGGCTGTTAAAACATTTCTGTTTTAATATTCACATTAATCTGTTGGCATATATTTTCAATTTCTATATTCCAAAAGAAAGTGTCATCCAGAATATAGATCACAAGAACTTCTATATGTCTAAAACTAGTTATTTCTAATTTAATTTGTATTTAGTGATACTGTAAATTGTGTGGTTGAAATAAATTCTCAGGAAAATGTTTTACTAAAGTGAAGTGGTAATTTACTTTTTTAAAGCTTGTTTATGTAGTATCAAGAGTTGTTATATCCAAAAATATTCCTTATAGCAGCCATTTTTCCCTATTCATTGTTACATAATACTTTAATTCTAACCCCAGTTTGCAATAGGTCACATGTTTAGGAATTCATTTTCTAAACTTGATTAGAATATTCGCACAATACAGGGTGAAGTTATTGGCTCCTGTCTCACACCTCTTTTTCCCAATGCCTCCTATATTTATTAGTAGCTCATTCTTCATCTCACTTTCCAGCTGACGGGAAAATCCTATTAATCTTTGTGACGATTGATCAGGTAAGGTGATTATTTATGGTTGTGATAATGTTTGTTTATTATTAGGGTAATATGATCTATTGAATTTATGCCTACTCTAGGCCAAATATTTTGGACCCTACAGTACAAATTGTTTCCTCGCTGGTTTCCACTCCATCTTGAGGATATATGTCAAATGTACCACTATTGCACTTTACTCTTCCTGGCATTAACTTAAATGTCTATAGCCATGTAACTGATTTTTTGCTGTTTTACTGATCACATCATTTATGTGTTATCTTTTTGAGAGCAGCAATGGCTAAAGTGCAGCACTGAATGACATTTAGGGTGGATAATAATCTATCAGTGGTTAGGTACCGCACTGATGTTTTTTAAAGTGATGAGAGTCATAATGGAATAAAGCAGGGGTATCAAATGTCACAGCAATGTGCTATCGGGATTTTTCCCCCTTTGCTAAACTGGGCATGGCCAGCAGGTGATGCATCTGGGCCGCGGGCTGTGAGCCTGACAGCCCTGGGTTAAAGAATAATACAAACTGAGCAGGAACAGCTGGTCAGGATTTTCCAGGTTTGGGGTATTAGATTAAACATTGTGTGGAGAGGGCGGTTCTCTGCTTAAAACCCATCAGAGCAGTTGGAGACAAGAGCAGGGGTCAATTAAGTAGGGTTGGGTGTGAATCTGACCTTTTATTTACTTATTCATTCTCTAATTGGAGCAACATAAAAGTATTTAGATAATAGTGTATTTTTTGCCCAGTGCAATAGATTTATCTTGCATTTCAGTTTTTCTTCACAGAGAAAAAGTTTATCATACAATATGTCTAATCATGGGAATGGCCATGCCAACAAAAATTGATCTACTATCATAGAAAACTGTGTTATGAACCATATCATTGGCTATTTGGCTTACCATTGTTTAAATAAAGATTTACATTAAAAAATCAAATAATGTGAATGTTCCCATTATCACTAATATTAAACTTAACATGGTATGATAGGGTCTAGAATTGATGAAGCTAATGTAGAGTAGCAAGTTAGTGTATTACATAGTCCTAAATAATGACTGTTGTAATATATCTAGAATCACCCCAAACAGCAATATGTATATACATTTAATAAACATAGTTCCAGCAATCATTTCAAATAATAGTAAAAAAATCATTTTCAAGTAATATTCAAATAATATTAAAAATCTGGATAATTTATTGAGAACTTGATTTATAAATTGTGATGGAGGGAAGGGGAAACACCAAATTAGTTATGAAAAAGCCTAACTTTCACATTCAAAGATATATTTCACATTCAAACACCTATTCTGAAAATAATCAGAAATATGTTTCTTTTAATGCTCCCAATTTCTTCTGCTGTCAAAAACACAGCTAGTAAATCTGAATTGTTCTGTCTATGGTTTCATACTCAGAGAAGGAAGCAAAAGCTGAAGGTAGTAACAAATAGTGCTTATAGTCTCTGTTGTTCTAAAATACATCAATTCAGAAAAGCAGAACCATGTTACTCATGTTTTTAATATTTGGTGCAGGAAATGAACTGAAATGTCTCATCTTCTTGTGTTTTATTCTCATTTTGCTTTTCTTTGAAACCGGAACAGATGAAATTTAAAAAAATCTTAATGTGAAGAACTGTAAGATTGTAAGACATTTTGGAAAGGCATTATCCCTATTTCAATCTGATTCAGCAAGCTTAGACGCATAGTATAAAGTATAAACTACTTATAGAATTCCAATTTGCCTTCAATGGTCAGCCTTTCAATGAGTTGTAGCTCAACAGTGCCATTGTGTACTCCAGACTTGCGAAAGGCTCCTGCGTAAAGGTTGTCTTCCCAGTAGTGATGCCAATTCCCATGGATGTCTGCACCAAAGCCAAAGGCAGAAACCTACCACATATAGAAGCAAGTGAGAAAATAATAAATGATTGCAAAAAAAAAAATTATTAAATGTTACACATCTACTGAAGAGACCAGATACTTAATCCCTGTTATATGTTTTGAATTACACCTCTCCCAGGTCTCTGTCATTGCCATGTTGGATGGAAGAGATGAGCATTGAAATACAAAACATCACAAATACTGTATTAGATTGCTCGCCACACTATAGTCGGTTGCATTACATAAATGCTATAGTTGCAAATGTTGATTTTACTTTTTATTTTAGAAAGTTATATATGGGTTTTGCAAAGTGGAAAGTGAAACAGCAAGTAGTTAAAATATAACTCAGGTTGAATAGTAGGTTGAATTTATGTTTTGTCCTAGTTTTTCATTTTGGTGATTAAAAGTACGAAGTGTCCTATAAAGTACCAATATTGGCCACATACAGTCTGCCATTTTGCAGCTTCCCAATAAGGTTTTTATTACTAAATAAATTGTAAAGAGAAATTGTTTTGGGAACAGAGCTAAAAGTGGCTAATGAAGCAATAGGAGCTCAGAACCCATTTATAGCAGCGATCCCCAGCCTTTCTGGCTCTGCCGACCGGTGGCGAAGGAGATCAATGGGGAAAGGGAATGGTTCTGCACAAGCAGTGGGAGAATGCTTGCAGAGCTCTGTTGGAGCTTTGCGTACTCATCCGATGGCCCATCGCTTGTGCAGCCCGGTTCGCAATGGGCTGCAGTCCAGTACATGGCCACAGCCCATGGATTGGGAACCTCTGATTTACAGGGTTTTTTGGTGCACTTACCCGTGTGCAGGTATGAATGGCAAACATCAGTGCAATCAACCCAGTGGAAGGATACTTTCCATGATGCCGTGTCCATTTGTCGTGGATATATTTCAGGAAACCAGGGTGAATTATTAGAATCTAAGAAGAAAAAATTGGTAAAACAAGAATTCGCCCAGATCATAAATCCTTCCTCAAATTGGTCCATCTATTATAAGAATAACTTCAGAGCAAGAAAAGTCCTTAATGTTCCCTAGGACTTAAACTAGAATGGATGATCCCCTTTCCCTGAACACATCAGCCCCTGACAGTATGTGCAGTTATTCCATGGCTTCAGGGCCAAGGTACCACAAAATGCCACACCTGTAGCCTGGAACAAGAACAGTTCATATTCCTAAGAGATTCCTAGTTGGATCCTCCCTAGTACAAGTTTGCTTTGACTGTTAAGAATGTGTACGGTGGCCTTCATAACTATTTTTTTCCTTCTGCTTCCTGGATGTTACTATTTAGCAAGGAATATTACCAGCTTGAAATATGCATTTCATGTATAAAATAAATATAAAACAATACATTTATTTATGAAGTTGGGACTCCAATACCGATTATTTTTAATCCACAAAAAATGTTAATAAATGCATTATTGCTTTTTAATTTATCCCTTACCTTACTTTTGTCGGCTTTAATAAATCGTCTAACTTTTCTGTATGTTCTGTGAAAGGAATGAAAGAATCTTTGTCATTCAACATTATTTTATTTTAATCAACATTGTAGAAAGAGAACTATTTTAGTCTAGGGTAGCCACAAATCAGGAGACTTGATTTTAACCATAATTTTATTTTTGTTCCTCTGGTTCGGAGATGTCAAACTCAAGGCCCGGGGGCCAGATTCTTCCCACAGGGTACTTAGATCTGACCCGTACGGCTGCCCTGGAAATAGCAAAGAACTGGTCCATGGTACTCTGCCATCAAAAACAGAGCTTGGGAAGGCTGGTCCTCCCGAGTTCTGTTTTTGCTGGCAGAGGGTTGCAGGAGGCCATCACAGCTGAAAATGGAACTCAGGAGCCCGTTTTCACTTGCAGAGCACTTGGGCCATCACAGCCCCCCCCCCAACATGAGTGACATCATGCTGGTCATGCCCACTCCGGCCCCCAAGGTCAAATACAACCCTGATGCTGCCCTCAATGAAATTGAGTTTGACACCCCGCTCTGGTTGATAGATTGAAATCCATTTATGGAAAACCAGAAAATTTCTTTAATAAGTGATAATGATAAATATCTCATGTAGTGAGAAATGTGTTTGCCATCTAAGAATGGAAACATGCTTGATATCCTTATAGCACTAGGAATGCCTGATGGCATGATATTACTATGTTTTTGCCCAGCCTTTTATACTGCAATTACTTAGGGAATATACTTACTGCTGAATATCTCCTGTTGAAAGAGCACTGGCCAACCATTTGAGATCCAGAGGTTTGAAAGGGATTAGTACAAGATGTACATTAGGACGGAGATTCATCGCACTTTCTGGGTACATGAAATGGTGTGTGGTTCGTGTGCCAACATCTTCCTCAAAACCTGTAACCTGTGCAGTGTTCATTCTTGGAGAATATTTAAAAAAAAAACAATCTTATTCAAGATATCTAGATCACACACATGGAAAAAATTGTTACTTAAACTTACTAAGTACAAAACCTGGATCTATGTCCAGCTTTTGTACTTAGTAAGTACAGATAAGGATCAGATCCAGATAAAGTTAGTGGATATCAACTACAACACGGGTGTCAAACTCATAGCATCATATTGCCATGACATGTATCACGACATTCTTCCCCTTCATGGAGCTGATGTGGGTGTGGCCTGCGCATGACACATCAGGCCCGCAGACCGCCAGTTTGATACCCCTGGCCTACATGATGTTCAATATGGATAACCTATTTCCTCATGCGGTTATCACTTTTTGAGAGAAAATTAAATAGGAAAGCGTATATTTTGTTTTAGAAGTACATAGTATGGCCCATAATCTGCATGCAGCATGCCTTTGGTAGTATCAACAGAAGAGAGTTTAAGATTTGGGGTGGATTTTAAGGGGCAATTTTTAAACCTTAAAGTTTGTATAATGTTAAGGCGTTCATTTCATTAAATTAAATTTCATTTCGTTAAATTACCTTGTGGGACTTACTTTAGATCCAGGTGTGTATATTTTAGAATGTGACATGCTTGGCAAAACATATGCAGCTATCTATATAACAAGATATACACCACTACCCTTAGAAATTGAGATTTTCTAACCCCCAACTGGATGTAGATTGAGATCTCTATACCTGACCCACAAAGACCCATTGTCTTCCCTAAGGGAATAGAGCAAGGATGTCTAACTGGTGGCCCATGGGCCGGATGTATCACAGGTAGGCCACGCCCACCCCAGCCTCGCAAAGGGGAAAAATGTTGTGATACATCATGTGGCAGCAACGTGACGCCGCAAATTTGACACCCAAGCAATAGTGTCTTACAATAACCAGTTATAATATCTGTTTCATAGCAGCAACATATCAGATTCCTGATTGCAAACTTAGGATCATTTATCAGGATAAAAATGCTTTTAATATGGTAATGGTTATCAATGGTTTCATTGTCAATTTGTTTGTGGCCATCTGCTGGCAATAGAGAAAAATCACATCTTTTCTATATCCACACATTTTTACTTTTTGTTATTTATATGCCACCATCTCACCTAGAGGCAACTCTAGGAAGCTTACAAACAAGTAAAAAGCAACAAGATAAAACATTAAAATATTACAGTAATAAACATTAACATTAAAATTGACAAAATTAACAAAGATGCCAAAGATGAGAAGAAGATTATTATTGCTATAATCTTTATTTCTAATCTAGAGGAGTAGGCGGTACAATACTTGGGTTTTAATTCAGATTCAAGATGCTTCAGAAAGTAAATGCAGTTTTTGTCTCTGACTCATTAATACAATGTCATCTGTTTCCTGGATGTGTGATCATGGAGAATACTGCTTTTGCTGCCACTGTTTTAACAAATCAGTGCTGAGTTCATAGCCCTGCATATTCAAAATACCACCTTTGAATCAAATCAAACATGGCATAAATATCCCAACTCCCTACCATTTTAGGGCAGTTACAGTAGTTAATGTAATAATAATAAAAAAGAAAGTAATAGGAAAATATCACTCCTGCGAGAGGTCTACACCAGCGGTGGGTTCCTACTGATTGACCAACCAGTTCATTTCACGCGCATGTGCCAGACGTGCACTGCGTGTGTGCGGACAGTTTAGCAAAAAGTGAACTTCCGCATTGCAAACAGCTGAGGAACGGCAATTCAATCTGCCGCCACTGATCAGCTGGGCTTCAGAAGCAGCAATAAAGGTCAGCATAACCTGGGGACGGGCGGGCAGAATACTTTCACGCAAACAGAGAACTGGTTTGCTCTCAGCTTGCAGTCAGAATTACCGGTTCTGCCGAGCTGCTCTGAACCAGTAGGAACCCACCATTGGTCTACACCAATCTGCTGTGTCATTTGAATCTAAGTTGAGGGCTGCAGGTCTCTCTCTCATTCTTTGTCTATATGCTCTCTCCTAGCTGCTTACCTCATCACAAACTTGTGAGAATCTATCTTCTTTCCATATTTAGAGCCCCTCAGCCTTCCTGAGTTTCCCACCACAGCACAGGTTCCACAATGAACAATATCCTGAGTTTTAGCAGTGGGTGATTGAAGGAGGTCAAACAGATATTTTACCATCTTCTGAATTTGGCTGCCATCTTTTGATCTTTGTAGCTTCTGAGGGAATAAAATAAAGCATTAGAAGCTTGGTGGAGGGACTTCTAATAAAGCCTGCCCAAGAAAATGTTTTATTTTGGATAAGATATAAAATCTTTTGGATACCTCTGAACTACACTGGTTAACATTGATTTTAAAAGTGAGAACTATAGAGGGGTGAGTTCCGGCTGCTGCTACTGCTGCTTCACTCAGGGACGCGCCATGTGCATGCGCTTCACACATGCATGCTTGATACGAGCTACACGCACATGTGTAGTACTAAAAAATACGCAGAAGCATTTTTGAACTGCTAGGTTGGCAAAATCTGGGACAAGTAACGGGAGCTCACTCTGTTACACGGTGCTGGGGACTTAAACTGCCGAATTGCCAACCTTCTGATCTACAAGCTCAACGTTTTAGCCACTGACCCATCGGACCCCTTCCAAGGGAAGAGTTGCATTAAGCAACTCAAAATACTGAGTCAATTTATAAGATATTGTAGAAACAAATTCTTAATCATTTCTCAGTGCAATACTGATCTTTTCCTACTAAATGGATTTATCCTTTCTTAATCAGGATTGGTTAATTTGGGGTTATTCATAAAATCGTAATGTCTAATGACACAGAAATAGAGAAATATTAAATACAGGGAAAGTAACATTTCAGTAACATATCTAGTTAATTTCTACTAAATATTCATTAGATAAAATCAAAATGAATTTTTAATGTAGCTCACCACACATCAAACACCAAGTATAGTCCTAAACAGAAAAAAAAATGTTCTGTACCTTACTTACATTATAAGACATAAGAGATGAAGAGTTAATAGAAACCAAAGGACAGCTTGAAGATTTCCAGACTGGCTGACTCTGATTATGTACATTATGGAGAGGGAGACTGTGTGCCCCCCTACAAATTGTTCAACCCTAACTCCCATATTCCTGCACATTTCATGTTATGTTATGAAATTCAGATTGTAACAACATTTAGGTACATTGCTGACTGAATGGGCAATGAATGCTTTCTCTATAGTTAGGAAGCAAATCTACCTTTCTTCATCGTGCCAAAAGATAATGCAATCTAGATCTTCAAAAAGAGGAAAGGAAGAGAAGCCAGGTTTTAAACAAGTACAGGAAACAATCAAGCAAAAAGTTGTGTGAAATGTTTTACATACAGTATATAAAGATTACGAATGTTCACTGTTTATTGAACTTCAGTGCTTTTACTCTGCTCAGTCTTAGTTAAAATGAAAAAGATAAAATGCTAAAATAAGCCTCTGTCATTTATTTTCCACTGAAAGACAAATCTGGACATGTACTACACACACAACCAACACTTCACTTAGTAGAGAGAATAATATTTTTTTCCAATTCTTTTCTCTAAACGGTTATTGTTGTTTAGCTTAGTAACATGATGCAGTACTCACCAGCCACCACTGAAGAACTTCTGGTGGAATATCAGAGTTTTCAAGAGTCAGTAGGCAGTTTACCGAGGCATCAAAGTGATCACAAAACCAATCCCAACTGCTTAGGCCAATACATTTGTTATGGTAACACATTTCTTCTTCCATTAATGAGTTTTGTTGCAGCCACTCATCAAGACTTTTGGACACAGATGAAACAGAAATATACATCTTCCAGATGGAAAGTGCAAAGCACAGTGCCAGAATTATCCACAGCTGCTTTTTACACATCATTGTTCACTCCATCAGTTCAGTTTAAATTCCTAGTTTAGACATTTTTGACAGAAAAAAATCATCACGCTGGGTGATATAATTGCAACTAAATCCTTTATTCGGGTATTATTAGATTGTTTTCAAAGTAGATAAAGTCTCACTATACTGGATGTCTTGCTATTCAGAACTTCAAGACCAAGAAAAACCAAACTAGATTGTAGCATTCTGCTGGTAGATACTTATAGTGAGACGCCATATCTTCAGAATGCTGAAACACACAAGCTAGAAAAAGATAAACAGAAAAGGCAAATGCTAAAATGGTATGTCAATATTATCCATAGATCTCAATGGGCAATACTATGTGCCATGATAGGATATAATTTGTTGATATTAATAAACAGATTTAAAAGTCTAATGATTCTATGTTTCAGTAACCCAAAGCTTTTTAAAGTACAAATTCACAGTGTGTTAATTTTTGCCAGAATGTAATGCAATCAGCTTGTATTTTCTGTATATCTCATCCAGGTATTTTTTTAAAATCTATTAGAGGATATAGCCATTTTTTGCAGTGAAACAATCTTCATGGTAAGCATTCCTAAATGTGATTTAAGCATACAGTGCTTTATTAGGGGGCTTGACTCATAAGACAGTAACTGCACTGAAACATGAATTTTGATGGTATGTAGGAATTGTGTAATAAATACACAATATTCAAGTCAATTATAAATTTCCCAAAACTATTGCAAATATAACAGATATTCCAGAATTTTGTAGCATTTCCAGGGAATGGGAAAGATGAAAGAAATTGCAAAATCCTGTATTTACATTGCTGACTGGCAAATAGAAAAAGATAAATAGAAAAGGCAAATAGAAAAGACAATCTTGGAACTTTATATGAAACTATGGTGACTTTTCTGCTTAGGGAGTTACAGTTATAGCGGATGAAGAAGCGTAGAACAGGAACAATTATGTTTGTATTGTTTCTCACAACACATTTTAGCTCAGGTCCTGATAATATCAAACTGAAGAATAAGAAAGAAAGACTTTGTTATGGAACACTTTATTTATGTGGGGCTCTAGGAAGTTAGATAACCACCTACCAAGATAACTGGGATTGCATAAACCATCACTGACATACATCTTACCTTATGGACAGAAATAGAAGAATTGCAGCAGCTGCTTTCAATAAGCAGAAACAGGCAGCATTTACTTTTGTACAGGTGCATAGCGAACAATGTGACATGTAAAAATTGTCTTAGAAAAAGAATGGAACATTTGTATAGCCTGTCTTACCCATCTGCGAACATAAAGATTCAGGCTAGTTCTGCAGAGAAATCCTCTAATCTCAGGCTTTCCCAAATTCTACTATCAAGAGGACAAATCCTTAAATTATACTAATTACTACATCAGGTAATTATCTTACACGATGCTGTCTTTCCCAATGGAAGTGATTGTTATCATATATTAAGCCTGATCCCAATGTCACAAATACTCAAGATAATTGTGATTTCTTTCAGATTTATCCAAAAAAGTGCATAAGTGCACCAGCAGGCCTAATGTCCCTGTCCCCATTTATTTGTGCCCATTTCCTGTGTTCTTATTCATGTTCATTCTTATTCCTGTTATCCTGTAAATGAGTGACAAACTAAATAAGTAAATAAAAACACAGTGCACAAGCTGTAAATGTAAGCATCTCCAACCCTACCTTCAGCAATTATTTTCCAGACATGCTAGAATAAACAATAAATTATTATTGATAATTACGAATAAAAAAGAAATCCTCTGACTCCATGCAGATACAGTTTATACTTTCTTAACACATCTGGATAGCACCATATCTACGGGATTAAAATGGGCTTTATTTTTGGTAACACTCATATTTGGGTATTATTGTTAAGTATTGTTAAGTAAAAATGAACACCTGTAATAATATACATAGGTTTCAGTTGTAGTAGGTATATAATTGTTACATGTAATAAGAGAATTAATGTTTAGCTTCCCAAAGCATCAACCATTCTGAATATCCACAATCTGATTAAATTATACCAAAGACTGGGGATAATTATATCTGGCTTCAATCTTTTCGTCAATCAGTTAAATACAAAGATGAAAGTCCATTTCATGGGTGTATGTTTATATTAGAACCAACCAGGAAACCTTGTTAGAAGTGGGAGGCTCTTAACACTGAAAATAATATACGTAGTTTGAAAGAAAAAATACAAATAAAGCAGCTAACAGCTAAATCAGTATGAAGAGTTTTTTGATTCAGTGATAATCTCATTTCACACTCTGGCATTTTTGTAAACCTTTCCCCACTCCATTTTAATACATTTGAAACTGTTATATCCAAATTGGAGTGCAACCAAGGCAGTGAAGGTAAAACAAGCTAACTCTTTCTATTTAATCTCACAAGCTACAACATAACAAATTTTCTCTTCTAACTCCAATTCTATAATAGTTTCCCTCTTTTCTTTTGGCCAGGTGCTAGACACTTAATATATATCCCTCCCTTGTGCTTAAACCTGCTCCCAACTCTGGGAGTGAAGAGTTTGAAGGGCTATAACATTTGCCCAAGAAAAGTGTTTTCTTTGTCAGTCACATCCATAAATTACTTACTTTCCCATCACTCAGATGTATTGTGATGCTCTTGGGGGTGAATCTCCAGTGCTGTTAGTAAAGGGATTGTTTTAATAAATCCTTATTAATTATAAGACTGCTTACAATTTTCCTCACAGCAGCATAGCCAGCAACAAAGTCTTTCATCATTTATTCAATAAAATTATTAATTGACTGATTTACTTATATGCTACTGATTCCCACAGGCTCTAGGCAGGTCACAATACAAATATATAATCACTACCCTAGAAACCCCCAAATACATTTAAGGGTGGGAGGGAATTTAAAAACTAAACATCAAAAAAACATGCATTTGCAACCTCACCTTCAAATCATGGGTTACTTTCTTTCTGTGCAAGACTGAACAGGTACCTCCAAAGTTTTCCTGAAGCCTAGGAGACATGATTGAATTTCTACTAGGAGGAAGCTATAAAGAGTGAGGACAGCTAGTGAAAATGTATGCTTCCAGGGCTCCATCAAGTGATCAGAAATGGGATCTGGAAGTGGTTGACCCTATTTGATCTGATTGGACAGGCAGATGAATACAGGAGAAAGTGGTCCCTAAATAAACAGCCATTCATGGTCTTAAACATGACAATCAACGCCTTGAATCATATCAGAACCCAACTGATAACCAGTTTCCAAAGCAGTGGGTTACGCTGCTTGGGACTTTTCATTCTGCAACCACTGTAATTTCCTCATGTTCCTCAAGGCAGGTCCATGTAGCTTGCATTGCACATGGGAAATGATTAGGGCATGGGTCCAGGAAGGGTAACAATTGGTGTACAAGATGTTACTATCTAAAATCCCTCCTGGCTACTGTTGCTATCTGCATTTCAAGCAAGATCTGGGAGTCTAGGAGACCTCCCAAATTGCAAACTAACTCTGAAGGGGGAACTGTAAGTGTTCAATTTCTGGGATGGAATTTCTCAGAAATTGTTAGGCTCCCAAATTCCCCAATCACCTCATCTTGGAAAGATTCAATTCCTTGACTTGGGATGTCACTCCAGACAGCATTCACTCTTCCTTATTAATGACATAGGATTCAGATGTTTTTAGTGGGGGAAACGTTTACTAAGAGAAAACAATACGTAACATTTAAAGAAAAAGAGAATTAATACAGGTAACCCTTAACTTACAACAGTTCATTTAGTGACCGTTCAAAGTTACAATGGCATTGAAAAAGTGACATATGTCCATGTTTCACACTTATGACCATTGCAGCATCCCTGTGGTTGTATGAATTACTTTCAGATGCTTGACAATTTCATATTTACGATGGTTGCAGGGTCCCGTGCTCACGTGATCACCTTTTGTGACTCTCTGACAAGCAAAGTCAATGGGAAAACCAGATTCATTTAACAAAGGTGTTACTAATATAACAATTCCAGTGATTCGTTTAATAAAAGTGGCAAGTCGTAAAATGGAGCGAAACTCACTACAAATTTCACACCTAGCAACATAAATTTGGAGTTCAATTGTGGTTGTAAGTCGAGGACTACCTATATAGAGTTCTAGACAATACAGTAAGAAAATAAAAAGAATAAGTGAAATAAGGAAGGGTAACCAAGAAAAGATATTTTCAGAAATTCGAGATACATATTTACCTGGGACTCAACTCTACTGAATTCTGTGAGATTTACAGTTGAGAATAAGTGCAGAAGTGGGTTGTTGTTGTTGTTGTTGTTGTTGTTTATGATGTTATCCATTCAGCCATGTCCAATTTGTGGCAATTCTATGGGCCAGGTGGGCTATCCATGTCATGTAAATCTTGCACTACTTCTTTGAATTATTCTATGCTCTGGCTGGTGTCACCTTTGATAGTCAGTAACGACTTATAAATACACAAAATGAAAGAGGAAGAAAAAGCACATGGAAAAAGTGAAGCAAATACCAAGAAAGGCACACATTGTACGAGGAAGAGAAGGAAAGAACAAGAGATGGCAAGGTCTGCATTTCTGGCAATGGCTCATGTTGCTTGTGTAAACAGAAGAAAATCTGGCATCTGGCAAGTGGGACACCTGGGTTGGGCAGGCAGGAGTGGCTATAGAGATTTTAATAATTAGTTATTTCAACATTCTTATTTACTGGTTGGATTTGACATAGTAAAGTAAATCATAATCATTGCTTTACTACCGTGCTTCCCTGAAATAAGCGCTTGGCCTTATTGTTGGGGAGATCTTATTATTTTTGAGGTGCAGGAGGTGACAAGCATGGTCACCTTATGGCTGCTGCTATGTTGCAATATTTTAGGGGAGGGCTTATTTTCAGGGGAGAAACAGGGCAATAAATCAGTTTCTTCACTAAAGCATTAAATCATGGTTTACCAAGCAACTGAACAGGCTACACAGCATACTAAACCAAAACCATAAATAAACAAAGGGGGGAGAAATCAATGTCTTGTTAACCTGCAACAATGTGTATTTGTCTTCAGGTGGCATTACTATTCTGTGCTCATACATGTTAAGTGCAATGTCTTTCCATGTTGACAAGTCAAATTATTCTTTGTACCAACAACAGTTTTAACCAATATCAGAAATGCAAGACTCAACTTGAGGTTCACCCCAGGCTTTGAATGGCACATCAAAGTTTACCCACTGAAAGTGGGTGGAGACATTAGAAGAAGAACTTCAAAGACTGAAAAGAATGCCTCAACATCTGCAAGACTGAACGTAGCAATTGCCCCTTAGCTCCCTCAATTCTTAAAAATGCAAAAGGACCACTGAAATTTGGACCCGCATATTTTGGGAAAGCTGTGGAGTCATCAAGGGATGTTGGTGGGTAGACATATTTTCTTGCTTTCATTTCAGTTTTGGTCACCTAAACTGAGATATAAATTACTCAGCTAACATTCAAAGACTTCCGGTAGAGGTTTTTTTAGCCCAAGTAGGCAAATCAATAAGAAATGCAACTAGCTACAGACAAACTGATGAATAATGGGAGATACTTTAGGGTAGGAGTTGTTTGTATGTGGACCTAAACCTTTTACTTAAGAACATAAGATTTCTTTTCATCCCCCCACTAACGTATTCAGTTAACAGTCTCCTTTCCTCATCTCCTTTCCCTTCCTTTCCTGTCAATTAGACTATTCATGTTACACCCAGCCCCCCTCCCTTTCCCCTCCTCCTACTGGGAAGAGAAGAGGAAGTAGATAGTTGAATCAGCCTGTCTATAGACTGGATCGAGTGTGATAGAGACAGTGGCATCTGCAGGAAATGTTCAAAAAAAGTTAAGATGGTAGCCATAATGTTGCCATAAAAGCACCCCCAGAGACACAGAATAACTGGTATATTTTGATGGGAATCAGTTACTGGGATAGCTAACATCCCTCATCTTACACTTGGCTAGTTATATTTATTTTAATCAGCTGTTATTTAATATTAGTGGGCAATTATCCAGGTCCTGTTCTCTTTGACATTGCCCATACAGTTGCTGTGAAAAGAATTAACAATAAATATTTCACATAAACACACACAGATGCAGACAAATGTATTATGCGTGGAGTTTTCAAGAATTGGTTGCATCTGGAATATGTAATCCTAGAGTGCAAAACGACTCTTCCTTTGGTGAGGGAATATAATACAGCTATAATGACTGACTTAACTCTCATTTCTTAGTATCAACAGAGATGTGTTTTAAGATGAAAGAAAGCCAAACATTTGCAGTCATAAAAAGATCCTGTATTGCACTGCAGTTAGATGCTGTATTGCACTGTGAAACACACACCTTAGGTAAATCCTAGATTTATACAAGGCCAGGAAAAGAACCTGCGAATGGATGAGTTCTAGCATATTACAATACATCTCTAAGGGGCAGGGGTGAATTTCAGCAGGTTCTGACAGGTTCTGGAGAGCTGGTAGCGGAAATTTTGAATAGTTTGGAGAACCGGCATATACCACCTCTGGCTGACCTCAGAGTGGGGTGGAAATGGAGATTTTGTAATATCCTTCCCCCAAGAGTGGGGAGCAAATGGAGATTTTGCAATATCCTTCCCCTGCCACACCCACCAAGCAACACCTACAGAACCAATAGTAAAAAATTGAATTTCACCACTGCTAAGGGGTAATGCTTTTGTTATTTTCCATTACATTTAACGATGTTACATCTGACACCGAAAGAATGAATCAATTTATTATTGTATAACATTTTGTGGATTATAGAATGCTTTGTCAGATAATACAATATAATCCCCATGAAGTGGAATAAATTAAATCTTTTGCCAAAAGTTATGTTAGATTGTATAGTGTTATAAATCTATTTATTCATTAACATAAATTAATAGTAGAACAGCAAAATGCTTTCACAAATCAAGTCTTTTTTTAAAAAAAAATCTTGCTATCATTTCTATTGCCCCTTGGGGTTTGTATATTTATAATGCCTTTTGCTAAAAGAAAGAACAATTCTAGTTAACATTACTACAGGCAGCTTACAAGGCAAATTAAATTCATGTTCTTCCTTTTGCTTGAATGTTCTGTAATGCATTTACAAAGCCTATTAATAGTAATGTACATTTAAAAAGCAATTTTCCAGTTTTTCTTTAGCATGAAAGAGAACACAAAAGTCTAAATAAGCACTTAACAGGGGGAAAAGCGAGGAGTCATAATCCCATACTTTCAATAGTCTGGTAAAATCAATTGATAGCAGAACTATTCCAGAAGATTTTTTAGGAAAAACTCAAAACCTACATAGATGCACATTACATCTTACTAATTAGTATGCATCCTGTTAATGAGATAAATTGAAAAAAGGTATGCAATATACTCACTTGTGTTGCAAGCTGCATTTCCTACATGGAGACCTCATGCCAACAAATAGTACTTTTGTTTCTATAAATGTTTTGACCCTTTCCTGTTTGTTCTCCTTTTCTTAATAAAAGATCTTAATCTTCTCCAGTCATAGGCTACAATTTACAGATTCTGGTATTTTAGCTAGAGGAGAAAATTTGCAAAAATAAAGAAATAAAGTTTCAGCAGTCTAACCCCGACCATATTAGGAAGAGAATGCACATTTTCAAAACAGAAAAAAAACCAACAGATCGGGTTTAAGCAATAAAAAAGGAAACGTGTTTGAACCATATTGTATTAGAAGTGGTTTCCTGTAACTGTTTGCAGATGTGACGCAACCCCCAAGTGCTCTGTGAGTAACTTGTTGGTTGACCATGACATATTTTGTTATTAATTTGGCAGTTGTATTTCTTTTGCGTTTGAGGCCATAAAATTTGGCTACAGCATGAAGTATCTGCTCATAATGTTGTTTTATACTACATTCTTAAGGGACATCATTCATTGAAGTTTAGTAATCAGAGTTAGATTTTTTACCATTTTTGATCTTTTCTTGAAATGCTATGCTTTACTAGGTGACTTTTCAGGCCATTTCATAATTTCTGGTATAAGGAGCTTTCTATCAGTCAAGACAGCAGAAAACTATACCCACAATGCTGTCTCTATTGCCAGATCCTGCATTGATTGTGAGTTTCTGATGAATAATACCTTGATTTTGTGTGTGCAGTATATGGTAGCCAAACTGGTTGGTTGAGTCCTTCAGCTTTCTTGCTCTCCCTCTTCAGCACATCATTAACAGGTGAGAAAAACATTATAACAGTTCAAAATGTTCATTATAGAATTATAACAATCAACATATATTCCTCCTAAACTATAATATTATAAAAACTAAAGTGTAGATTGCAAATAAAAATAATAAGTCAAATAAATTAATGGTATGAATTGTTTTTTTAAAACTAATCTGGTTTATGCCCAAGCCAGTCACTGTATCTGTCCATACATGTCAGCAAAAAAAAAAATATTTCTATCATGTACACCAGTGGTGGGTTCCTCTCCCCGTTGCCACTGGTATAGTGCTCACGGGGCTGTGTGTCCTTTCGAGCACACATGCTGCGCACGCATGCACACTTCACCGCCCCTATAACAACCCAGCTGCATGTTAGAGCTCATGCGGGCACCACACACTGTGCATGTGTGCACAATTGGCCGGTTGCTTTAAAAACTGGTATAGATTGATTGATTGATTGATTGAATTTTATTTATAGGCCGCCCTTTTCCCTGGGGGGACTCAGGGCGGCTCACAACTCACGGGAAGGGGGGATACAAACAATAACAAACAATAACACATAAGAGCATACATAATTAAAAATAGAGCACAACATTCATACCATTCGGGTGGGGGTGAGTTACATTCTTTAACCCCAGGCCTGGCGGGATAGCCAGGTTTTAAAGGCTATTGGGGAGGGCTTGAGGGTGGTGAGGGTACGAATCTCCACGGGGAGATCGTTCCAAAGGGGGTCGGAGCTACTACCGAG